TCTGTTGGGTGCCTGACTCAATTTCAACTCAGGTCATGATCTCGGGGTAGTGGGATCCAGCCCAGTGAAGGGTTCTGCAATCAGTGGGAAATCTGCTTGTCCCTCTCGCTTTGCTCTTCCTACCCCACCCCCAGCAGGCACTCTCTCTCTCTCTCAAATAAACAAACAAATAAAATCTTTAGAAAAAAAGAAAATAATTCTCTTTCAATTTTGTTAAATATATATATATATATTTAACAAAATTATATATATATAAATTATATATATAAAAATTATATATATAAAAAATATATATATATTTTAGAGAGAGAGAGAGAGCGCAGCAGAGTGGGGAGGGACAGAGGTAAAGAAAGAGAGGAAGAACCTTTTTTAAAAAAAGATTATTTAGGGGCACCTGGGTGGCTCAGTGGGTTAAAGCCTCTGCCTTGGCTCAGGTCCTGATCTCAGGGTCCTGGGATGGAGCCCCACATCTGGCTCTCTGCTCAGCAGGGAGCCTGCTTCCCTCTCTCTCTCTGTCTGCCTCTCTGCCTACTTGTGATCTCTCTCTGTGTCAAATAAATAAATAAAATCTTTAAAAAAATAAAAAGATTATTTATTTATTTGTTTGAGAGAGAGAATGAGAGAGAGAGAGCATGAGAGGGGACAGGTCAGAGGGAGAAACAGACTCCCTATCAAGCAGGGAGCCTGATGTGGGACTTGATGTGGGACTTGATCCTGGAACTCCAGGATCATGACTCAAGCCCAAGGCAGTTGCTTAACCAGCTGAGCCACCCAGGTGCCCAAAAGAGAGAGACAGAATTTTAAGAGGGCTCTATACCCAGCGAAGAGCCCAATGAGGGGCTAGATCTTACAACCCTGAGATCATGACTTGAGCTGAAATTAAGAGTTGGACATTCAACAGACAGAGTCATCCAGGCACACTAAAATATTTTAACATTTAAAAAAATCTTAACATTTAAAAAATTACATTGTGGGGTGGCCAGGTGGTGGAACTTTTTTTTCCCCCCAAAAGTGGTGAGTACTCTAGCCCCCTTGTTATGCTAGTGGGTTTCTTGGTCATCCTTCCCAGTATCTGTATCATTAGGTTAATGTATGCAGGCCTCCCACTGTGCAGAGAATGACTACCTGCCTCTGGCACCACACTCTATGCCTGGGATAACATTTTCCACAAGTGTGAGATCACTCACTTTCTCTTGGCAGCATCCATATAACTAAGGAAGTTGGAGTTTTCCCAAAAGGTGAAGACTGATATTGAAAGACTGCATTTTAGGGGCGCCTGGGTGGCTCAGTGGGTTAAGCCGCTGCCTTCGGCTCAAGTCATGATCTCAGGTCATGATCTCAGGTCATGATCTCAGGGTACTGGGATCGAGTCCCGCGTCGGGCTCTCTGCTCAGCAGGGAACCTGCTTCCCTCTCTCTCTCTCTCTCTCTCTCTCTGCCTGCCTCTCCATCTACTTGTGATCTCTCTCTGTCAAATAAATAAATAAATAAATCTTAAAAAAAAAAGAAAGACTGCATTTTAATTGGAAACTCCTGTGTTGGGTCATTAAAATGTAAACTTGACAAGTAAATGTTACACTTGGAAAAGAATTTTGAAACTTCAAAAGAAAATGTCTTAGTGAAATAACTGTCTAAAACTGTCTTCTATTTTGTTCTTAGTTATTTGCTGTTTTTTCCCTGTATGTATGTGAGTGGGTATTGAAGTGTAGAAATTGAATTGTAGAAATAACTTCCACTAAGTGATCTGGCCTTAGCCATTCAAAAGATAGGCCATATATTCATTTTCATCTGAGATCTGCTTTTAAAGGATTTGAGAAGTTAGGTGGGGAATTCTTTTAAGCACAATCCATTTCTACAGAAAACTTCTTAGCTCCTAACAGTTAATAAGCCTCAAAGTTTAGGGAGTATATATTTCCTGGGAATCAGAAAAGTTTATCTGAGGCTATACAGGGAAAAAAGTGACTTGAGCAAATAAGTAAGAAGCTCTTTCTTGGGAGGAGTCATCCTACCTACAGTGTCATAGCTACTCACCACCTTTGAGACATGTATGCAGAAAGCATAAATGATCAGGTGAACTCTGTACTACTAGAAGTTTGGCCTCTATGTTTGTAGTACAGGTAAATGGTAAGCTGTTAAAACTATATCCAGGTATACTCAGATCTCCAGGAGTCGCAATCTGTCACTTAAATTCTTATTGGTTTCTTATTCCTTATTTACACTTTTAAGGTAAGTTACCTAGGGAGAAATCTAAGTGAGAGTAGATTTTATTCACTGATACTTTATCTACATAGTGACTCAATCTTCTAAACTCATGTGTCCTTTAGTATTACTTTCATTGCCTAATAATCATTATGGAGTCTACTCTATCATAAATTGCCTGTGTCATTCTACTTTGCAATTAGTGTACTCTCAAATGTCATGAAATGTATAATATTATAAGAAGTTGTCAGAGATGTTCCATTAATATGGAGTCCATGATGTCTTTAAATTTATTTTTATTTTTTAAAAGATTTTATTTATTTATCAGAGAGAGAGCACAAGCAGAGGGACCAACAGGCAGAGGGAGAAGCAGGCTCCCAGCTGAGCAAGGAGCCAGATGCGGGACTTGATCCCAGGAATCTGGGATCATAACCTCAGCCAAAGGCAGACACTTAACTGACTGAGCCACCCAGGTGTCCCATGGAGTCCATGATGTTTTAAAATTTTAATTCTGTATCTCATTTTAAAGCTAGCTATTACTAAAAAAAAAAAAAACTAGCTATTACTTTTCAAGATTCTTCAAAGCACTGACTGGCATACAGGTATCTATAATTATTACCTTGATTCATGCTTTTCCAAAATAATTCTTAAATGTTTACTTAGTTCTTCTTCATGAACTAGTACAATAGAATCAATTAGAAATTATATGTTTGATATTAACAAATATCATTAATGTAACTTACCTCTTATGTTACTTGAGAAAGTTTAAAATACTCATCTATCCCTTTAAATGCTAATTGATGACTTAATCTATTCTAAATGTGAATGATAAAATGCAAATAAGTTGCAATCCCGGCATGCTTTCATTGAGTGCATGGGGGGAAAAATTGGTATGAAAACTTTTCTCCTAATATTTAAATCATGTATTTGGTTTTATTTCAAGAAGCTCTGACTATAAGCAAAACTTTGGACATCCTCTTACCTCTCTACGTTCAACCTCTGCCCATGAATTTTCTCTGGTCAACTTTCAAATATTCAGCAAACTTATGCTTCTTGCTGAATTCACAGAGATCTTTAGAATATTACATTGCCTTATCTTTCAGATATTGAATGGTGAATTATGTTCCAAAGTTACTTTTCTCTCTTTTCTCTACTGATCGGTTAAGTTACCAATACTTCCCAATGACAACTTTTTAAGAAACTAGGATCCAGAAATTAATCTAGAGTGGAGATCATTAAAAACATAATAATTTCATACAGTGAATATTTTAGGATAAGCAGGTAAGTTGAAATGTATAAATGGTGAGGAAATTTAAAAAACAAATATAGTCTGACTTGGTGTCATGAATGTAACAAATATTTAAATCACACGGTATTGTCATATAGTAAACCAAATTTATAAAAGAACTGCATTGTAAAAAATTAACCTTTGGCATCCTTATAAAATAACATTTAAGACAGACAGCAAGGATATAATCACTGGATAAAGGATAAAAGAGTCCTTTATCCATAATAAATAAGTAAATAAATTTGGTAAATTAATAATTGCCATAATAATGTAGAAGTAAACATGTATGTGTATATGGATATGTATATACACATACATTTTGTTGTTGTTAAGTATGATCCACACCCAATGTAGGGCTTGAACTCATACCCTGAGATTAAGAGTCACATGCTACACCAACTGAGCCAGCCAGGCATCCCTATATACACATACTTTCAGTGTCTTAATGTTTTGGTGGGCATGAGTTTCAAAGGCCTGAATTTTTAAAATAATCTTTCAGGAATTCTTTTTTAAAAGATTTTATTTATTTATTTGAGAGAGAGAGAAAGCAAGAGACAGAGCACGAGCAGGGGGAGGGGCAGAGGGAGAAGCAGACTCCCTGCTGAGGAGCGACTGGAACCTAGGACCCTAACCCGGAATCACAACCTGTGCAAAAGTCACACACTTAACCAACTGAATCACCCAGGTGGCCCTGATTTTTCCATAAAATGTAGACTTTCGGCCAAGTGGTAAAAGTTAGGGGTCTTGAATCAGATTGAGAGCCCACCCTAATATCACTAGTTAATATTTTTAAGTTACTTACTGGTATGTGTTTTCACTTTCTTGTTTGTAAAAAGTGAATTGTATCAATACCTGTCTTGGAGAGTTGTTGGGAGAATTTAATGGGGAAAAAAGAATTTAATGGGCAGCGCTTGGGTGGCTCAGAGGGTTGACGCTCTGCCTTCGACTCAGGTCATGATCTCAGGGTCCTGGGATCGAGCCCCCCACTGGGCTCCCTGCTCGACAGGAAGCCTGCTTCCCCCTCTCTCTGCCTGCCTCTCTGCCTACTTGTGATCTCTCTTTCTGTCAAAAAGATCTTTAAAAAAGAAGAATTTAATGGGATAATCCCATTAGAACACCATGCTTGTCACATGGGGAATATTTCACTACTGTAATAATGTTAATCATTCTACTGTATTTTACTATGTCATGGATTGGAATCTTTGGAAGTGATGAATTAGTATAAAAGCTATAAAGATGTATTTTTATAATATAAAGAATTTGACAAGTGCTCGAAGGGAATTACAACTAAAATAGAAATTTTGGAAAAGATCAGACGCAAGTATACGGAGAAGGTGAAGTACATTTATTTAATACTTACCCATTAAGCCACATGATGTCGCTGTCCACCACAAGGTATTTCACCACAAAAGAAATGCCGCATGCGTTATGTACTCTGATGCTGCTTTTCCTCACCATCTCTGAAATACGGGCGTGGTAAGGTTATTATTTTTTTTTTAAATGAGGAACTCAAATTCTTTTCTGAAGTTTGGATCGAGGCAAGAACGACGCAATATTTGGGAAAGGCTTGCAATGGTGTTTTCATGGAGAGAAGAAGGTTCAGGAGCCCGGCAATTACTGCTTTCGCTTCTGCTCCTTACAATCTGGGAGACTGGGAGCGGCCAGGTTCATTACTCAGTCCTGGAGGAGGCCAAACACGGCACCTTCGTGGGCCGCATCGCCCAGGATTTGGGGCTGGAGCTGGCGGAGCTGGTGCCACGCCTGTTCCGGGTGGCGTCCAAAGGCCACGGCGACCTTCTGGAGGTAAATCTGCAGAATGGCATTTTGTTTGTGAATTCTCGGATCGATCGGGAGGAGCTGTGCGGGCGGAGTCTGGAGTGTAGCATCCACCTGGAGGTGATCGTGGACAGGCCGCTGCAGGTTTTCCATGTAGAGGTGGAAGTGAAGGATATTAACGACAACCAGCCGGTTTTTCCAATGGCAGTAAAAAAATTATTTATTTACGAATCCCGGCTGCCTGGTTCTCGGATTCCGCTAGAGGGCGCATCAGATGCAGATATTGGAGCCAATTCTCTGTTGACCTACAGTCTAAACTCTAATGATTATTTTACCTTGGATATTAAAAGAAATGATGAGAATATTAAATCCCTTGGACTTGTGTTGAAAAAAGTTTTAAATCGCGAGGACACTCCTGAACATCACTTACTAATAACGGCAGTTGATGGTGGGAAACCAGAGCTCACTGGCACTACTCAAGTGAAGATCACCATTCTAGATGTAAATGACAACGCTCCAGAGTTTGAGAGGTCTGTCTACAAAGTCAGTTTATTCGAAAATGCACCAAACGGTACCCTAGCAGTGATTGTTAACGCCTCTGATTTGGATGAAGGAGTAAATAAGGACATTGTATATTCTTTCAATACAGACATGTCAGCAGATACTCTTTCAAAATTCCACTTAGACCCAGTTAGTGGATACATCAGTGTAAAAGGTAATATAGATTTCGAGGAAACTAAGTTATATGAAATCCAGGTAGACGCGACAGATAAAGGAAATCCCCCAATGGCAGGTCACTGCACGGTTCTGGTGGAAATTTTGGACGTCAATGATAATGTACCTGAGTTGGTTATCAAATCACTGTCATTACCCGTATTAGAAGATACTCCCCTCGGCACGGTCATTGCCTTAATAAGTGTGTCTGACCGCGACTCTGGTGCCAACGGGCAGTTGACCTGCACCCTGTCACCCCACGTTCCCTTCAAGCTGGTGTCCACCTTCAAGAACTACTATTCGCTGGT